TAAATTTTGAAAAAAAATCCTGTTTCCCTATAAAATGTTATGAAACATTTATTAACACCCCAATTTTTTGGTAAAATATAAAAGACGGGTGTGCGCCGTGTAAATAGACGACAAACATGCAAAGCCTTAAAATTGCGCGCGCGGGCGAGACCTCAAAAAACTACAATACCCCAAATTGGCCATAGGCGACGCTTTAAAAGCTTTTACCGCTCATCAGTTTAGTGTTATCGGTGATTGATGGCCCTAAAATGATTGCTCTCACTGCGACGTTCGCGGCAATATGTAACGTGTAGCGCAATTGTAATTTTCGCATCGAACACGTATTTACGTTTATATGTGCATAAACGTAGGGGTGGGGGACTTAGACATTTTGGGGGGCGGGGGTTTAAACTTTCTTTAAATGTCACTTTTTTATTTTTTTAAAAACTTTTTTTACACTTATTGTTATTGCTATCAGATAGAGGGATAACAATCCCCCTATATAATAGCAAAGGCACACTGACGGGTCCTCTTTATGGAGACATTAGGGGTCTTAAGAGACCTGGGTGCCCCAAAAGATCACCTGGGGACCCCAAAAGAAGCTGATGAAGCAGAGTGTGCCGCACAGGGCGCCATGGCAACAAAGGCGCCAGGCAGCCGACACAGCTCGTCCTCAGGGCAGCTTCTCTCCTCACCGCTGGCCATCTGACATGACAGCGCTCCCTCGTCAGCCCCACCCCCGCCCCTCCGGGGGGGGCGCAGGAGGAAGCTTTGCCTGCTGTCAGGATGGCCAAGCGGTGAGGGGGAGAGAAGCCGCGCCCGCAGCTGTCCAGGATGGCCGAGCGGGTAGGAGATCGGGGCTGCTGTCATCCTGTCAGTTTCAGGATGGCAGCGGCTCTGTGCGTGGGAGAGCGGGGGATCGGTAAATATCAATGATACTTACCGATCCTCTGTGTGAAAAGGACAAACACTGGAGCGATCGTCTGATCACTCCAATGTTTGTAAATAACTGGGGACACATAGTACTATGTGTCCCCAGTCATGAATGAACAGGCTGTGATTTACATCGCAGCCTGTTCATTCAAGATTTCCTCAATGGGGAGAAGCAGCCAGTACAGAGGCTCCTCCCCATTCAGAAACGGCTGATAGTAAATATGAATGCTTCCCATTCATTGAGTGCTGAAGCTGCACTGGATTTGGTGTCCTCAATTTCTTTTCTATTTTAAAAGGGAAATGTCGGTCTGTTTAGACCCCTAATATTTTCCCATAGCCCCCCCCAACAGTAAAACATTAATAAATAATACAAAAATAAAAAATTATTTTAAAAAATAATACAAAAATCCGGGGGGGGCGCAGGAGGAAGCTTTGCCTGCTGTCAGGATGGCCAAGCGGTGAGGGGGAGAGAAGCCGCGCCCGCAGCTGTCCAGGATGGCCGAGCGGGTAGGAGATCGGGGCTGCTGTCATCCTGTCAGTTTCAGGATGGCAGCGGCTCTGTGCGTGGGAGAGCGGGGGATCGGTAAATATCAATGATACTTACCGATCCTCTGTGTGAAAAGGACAAACACTGGAGCGATCGTCTGATCACTCCAATGTTTGTAAATAACTGGGGACACATAGTACTATGTGTCCCCAGTCATGAATGAACAGGCTGTGATTTACATCGCAGCCTGTTCATTCAAGATTTCCTCAATGGGGAGAAGCAGCCAGTACAGAGGCTCCTCCCCATTCAGAAACGGCTGATAGTAAATATGAATGCTTCCCATTCATTGAGTGCTGAAGCTGCACTGGATTTGGTGTCCTCAATTTCTTTTCTATTTTAAAAGGGAAATGTCGGTCTGTTTAGACCCCTAATATTTTCCCATAGCCCCCCCCAACAGTAAAACATTAATAAATAATACAAAAATAAAAAATTATTTTAAAAAATAATACAAAATGTAAAAAATTATTTTACAAAAGTGAAAACTGCCCCCCACACACACACACACACACACACACACACACACACATATAAATAGACATGTGCGAAG